GGGGGGGGCTCTGTATCCTCTTTGGTGTTCAACAAGGATCTCATTTGGCCATTTGCTCTCCTAGCCAAGGTCTCAGGCAGGAAGGAGGCAGGGGAAGTGCAGAGAAGGCCCATTGTTACTTCCCAAGTTTTCTGCCAGGGAGAAAAGAAGGTATGATGTAAGGCTTACACTGTAAGACAGTGCTCCTCAGACTTTAATGCAGATGGTATTAAAATACAGTTTGTGGTTCAACAGGCCTGGGGTGGGGCTGAGATTCTGTATTTGTCACAAACTCCCAGGAGATATTGCAGCTGCAGAGTGTGAATGGCAATGATAGTAAAGGGATGACCCTTTGCCAAAAGTCCCCTGAGACCTAAAAATTTATTTATCCTGGAGGAAGGGGCTGTCTCCTTTCACAAGAAGTTCGATTTCAAGGTCAGATGACTCCTGGTAGGAAAACCAGTGACTGATACTTGTCTCCCAAGACTGTCCCGGGAAAGACCCAGGAGATCAGTGTCTGAATGTGGGGTGGGATCTTCCAGATCAGAAGGAGAGGGTTACAGTAGCATAAGGTAAGGGCTCAAAACTGCCTCACAAGCCTAGCTGTGCAATGGAAACGTGCTGTGCGCTGTTCACTGCTCTGTGTGTGCAGTTTGCATGTGCCATCACATCCATCGGTACAGTGCCTCTGGGTACTGTGGCTTCCCTGGTATACAGTAAGGAAACTGGAGCTTGAAATCCTACCTCTGTCCCCCATTGGCCCAAATGGAGTCATGCTCATTCCTGAACTAATCAGGTGTATGGGGGTGAGTCCTAAGTCTTGGGCCTGGGTTCTGTGCTCTCCTGGAGCTGGGGGTGGGTTTATCCCCACCCAAGCCGTAAGGACTGGGAGTAGTAAAGAGTTGGTTCCCAGGGAAAGTGGGGTGCTACTATCAGAAAGGAATGTCTGGGCAGACAGCAGAGGTCCATCACAGTGGGTGGTTCAGCCAGGATTGTGGGTGTGGGACGTTGGGGTTGTTCCCCAGGCTAGACTGAAACAGCGGGGAGATGGTGGGTGGAGTGCGGGGAGAACTGTAAGGCATTTCCAGCTCAGCAGGGCAGGGGTTGTGGGAGAGTCCAGGGAAGAAGTGATGTTGAGGGACGCTTGGTGTGACTGTCGGTCTCTCCGTTCCCAGGAAAGCTACAGCCATGGCCCTGGGGCTCTTCCGCGTGTGTCTAGTGGTGGTGACGGCCATCATCAACCACCCGCTGCTGTTCCCGCGGGAGAACGCCACGGTCCCCGAGAACGAGGAGGAGATCATCCGCAAGATGCAGGTGCACGAGGAGAAGCTGCAGCTGGAGCAGCTGCGCCTGGAGCAGGAGGTGGCGCAGCTGGCGGCCAGGAAGGAGGCGCTGGAGCAGGTGGCCGAGGAGGGCCAGCAGCAGAATGAGAGCCGCACGGCCTGGGACCTCTGGAGCACCCTGTGCATGATCCTGTTCCTGGTGATCGAGGTGTGGCGGCAGGACCACCAGGATGCGCCCTCTCCCGAGTGCCTGGGCGCTGACGAGGACGAGCTGCCCGCCCTGCACGGCGCCCCCCTCCAAGGCCTCGTCCTGCCCAACAAGGCCACATTGGACCACTTTTACGAGCGCTGCATCCGGGGGGCCACAGCAGATGTGGCCCGCACCCGGGAGTTTGTGGAAGGCTTTGTGGATGACTTGCTGGAAGCCCTGAGGAGCCTGTGCAACCGGGACAGGGACATGGAGGTGGAGGATTTCATTGGCGTGGACAGCATGTATGAAAACTGGCAGGTGGACAAGCCCCTGCTGTGCCACCTCTTTGTGCCCTTCATGCCCCCTGAGCCCTACCACTTCCACCCAGAGCTCTGGTGCTCCAGCCGCTCGGTGCCCTTAAATCGCCAGGGCTATGGCCAGATCAAGGTGGTCCGGGCTGACGAGGATACGCTGGGCTGTATCTGTGGCAAGACCAAGCTTGGGGAAGACCTGCTGTGTCTCCTCCATGGCAAGAACAACTTGGTGCAGCCCAGCAACGAGGTGGAAGACCCACTGTGTGCCAGAGGTTCCCCATACCTGGACACGATGCAGGTCATGAAGTGGTTCCAGGTGGCCCTCACCAGAGCCTGGCACCGCATTGCCCACAAGTATGAGTTCGACCTGGCCTTTGGCCAGTTGGACGCCCCGGGGTCCCTCAAGATCAAGTTCCGCTCGGGGAAGTTCATGCCCTTCAGCCTGATCCCTGTGATCCAGTGTGATGACTCGGACCTGTACTTTGTCTCCCATCTTCCCAGGGAGCCCTGCGGGGGGACCCCGGCGTCCAGCACTGACTGGCTCCTGTCCTTCGCTGTCTATGAGCGACACTTCCTCAGGATGACATCGAAGGCACTGCCTGAGGGTGCCTGCCACCTCAGCTGCTTGCAGATTGCCTCCTTCCTGCTGTCCAAGCAGAACCGCCTGACCGGCCCCAGCGGGCTGGGCAACTACCACCTGAAGACAGCCCTGCTGCACCTCCTGCTCTCCCGGCGGGCCACCGACTGGAAGGCCGGGCAGCTCCCCGCCCGCCTGCAGGAGCTGCTCTGCTTCCTGGAGAGGAGCCTGCTGGAGAAGAAGCTCCATCACTTCTTCATCGGCAACCGCAAGGTGCCTGAGACCATGGCACTCCCCGAGGCCGTGCGCAGGGCCGAGCCCCTCAACCTCTTCCGGCCCTTCGTCCTGCAGCGGAGCCTCTATCGGAAGACAGTGGACTCCTTCTATGAGATGCTCAAGAACGCCCCAGCGCTCATCAGCGAGTACTCCCTCCACATCCCCTCAGACCACGCCAGCCTGCCCCAAAAAGCTGTCGCCATGTAGAGCAGCTGGAACCTCGGGGGCCAAGGTGCAAGGCATCCCACACGTCCACACCCCTGGGGGCATCTGCAGGCCCTGTCCTGAGAAGACGGCGGGCTTCGTTGGGAGCCTGCCAGAAGCCAGGCCCTATACTGTGGAGGAAGCACAATTCCAAGCTGGAAGCTACTTTGCTTTCGTGCCAATAGGGCCTGCTGGCGAAGCTGTTATCCGTGTTTGGGGACTGAGCCCTTGCAGCTTACTTTTGGATCATCACGAATGGGCAAGATGGTGACAGAACTCGATGGACATGGCATTGGAGACAATGCAACATCACTTTGGGTGTGATTCTGTTTACATCCCAGGTCCAGCCGTTACTTGAATGGCAGCAGAGGATTGAAGGAATGCTGACAGGGGTGCGTGTTAAGACCGTGCACCCCTATTTACAGTAACCCTTGGCCCCAGGCATTTGCAACCAAAGCACTAATAGGGACAGATGTGGAAATTCACCACTTTCCATCCATAGCCTGCACAATAGGGGTCCCACCATGGCTGCCATTTTTTATACTATTTGGAGAAAAGATCTAGTTAGAGAAACAAAGCCCCAAGTGGCTAATGTCTCTGTTGCACAGAAATGGGTACTTGGTGGCAGAGAGAAGTTTTAAGTTGGCTACTTTTCAGCTACACATCCCATTCAGGGTGCACCCCATTCAGGGTGCACCCTTCTTCCTGCCCCTTTCCCCAGCTTGCTGTGTCCCATGGGTACCATATACCATGCTGGGTACTAATTCAGTGGTCCCTCACCCCTCTTATTTATCTCCACAGCTTGTGGGGGAGGGCAGGCGCTGAAGGTAGAAACTGGTAGAGAGATGCACAGGGTGACTGGGGTGAAAGGCAGCCTGGCACCCGAGGTGCTGGGGTCTGGCCTGCAGTCTGACCTCTGATGCCCAGTCTAGAGGAAGTTTCAGAGCTGAGAGGTGAGGAATGCCGTAGCCCTGTGTCCTCCTCAGGGTCCCAGTCCTAGAGCAGAGTGTACCTTACTAGCCGCACAGACGACTGACACCCTAAGAGTTTGACAGAGGCTCGGCTGACTGGGAACACACAGAGACAGCACTGCGGGCACAGCCCCAGGCCTCTGAGAGGCCACCTCGGCACTGGTGGGGCCTGCGGTCACTTGGCGGGCACCAGAGCCTGCGGTTGGAGCTGGCCTCTGTCTCCAGGCCTGGTTCAGGAGGGTTGGGAAACCGTTCCTCCTCCACTTGTGGCTTCACTGGTCCTTTGGGGTTTTCTGTATTGGCATTGCCTCCGTAACCCCTGCAAGGACCAAGGAGGAGGCAAGAATGAGTGCGCCTTCACCAGCAGCTGGGTTCTCTCTCCAGGGCGAAAGCTGGCCGTGCCTCCCAGACAGCATACCCAGTTCCACGGGGTGTCAGGCTCACCACGAACTGAAGAAAGGATATTGTCCCAACCCAGAAGCGCTCTCACCTGGCCTCAGAGTGCTCAAGATGGACAGTTTGCCTGACAGGGTTGAGGGAGGGAGGCTCACCCACAATGGAGCACTGAAGCCTATAGGAAGCCTTCCATGTGAGCTGGAGTTAGAGCAGGGCTTGAGCCTGCCCCTCCCCAGGCCCACAATGGCCAGGACCAATCCTGCCCATGTGGTCTCCAGCAGTAGCCCCAAGCCCCTCATTCTGCTGGGATTCATTTCCAGAATCGGGGTGAATTTCCTTATTTATTATCCCCTGTGCCTTTCTTTCCCCTTCTTCATCTTTATCTTGTTGTGCTTGGAAGAGGCCCCAGCAACCAAGAACCGCCCTCCAGAGGCCAAGACCAAGTCCGACACTCCTTCGGCTTCCCCTTTGCTTCCAGGAGAAAATTCAGTGAAAAAATACTTTGTTTATACAGAGAAGACAGAACTCAGCAGGGAAATGGGGATCTTTTATGCACCAAAGCAGCTTCTGAAGCAGAAAGCAGCAAGGCTCTTGATGTTTCATGCTGCCTTATTTATATTAAAGGAAGAATTAAATTCTTGCAAGTAGAAACCGGTCACGGTGTTTGTCACTTCTGGAAATCTGTAAGGTTCCTGGGCAGAGTTGGGAAGGGGGGTGGATTTGGTGGATTTCCTATTGACAAGCAGACGCTTTCACTCTTTTTAATTCTTATGCTTTCAGGAAACTTTTAAAAAAATAGCAAAATAGAACATTTCTTTCCCATCTTTGAGGCAGCCTAGAGGGTAGAGTCTAGCCCAAGACCTTATTTGAAGAGCTTGATGGGTACAGAGAAAGGTGAGATCTGCAAGTAACAGGGAGCTTTTGGTTTTCAAGGAGAGAGATTGTCTTAAACGGAAGAGTTTTAGCCCTTTAGGACCCCTAGGCCTTTCCACTGAGGACAACTCCACCATCTTTCTCTGAGGAACCTTTTTCCTTCCCCAGGATTCATGGCTTTACCCAGGATCTGCTCACTCACTGTGCAGAATGCTCCAGGGCTGCTTTGCTGAGCCTCTTGACAAGGCTGAAGTGAGTAGGGTCAGCCCAAGGCCCAGAGGTTAGTTAGGTTGGGGAGGGCCCTACATCCTCAAAAGCCTCGCTGAAGCACAGACCAGGTTGAGAACCTGGGACCAGCACTTTGGTTCATAATCAGGGTCACCAAAAACACCTGGAGAGCTTGGTCAAATGCCCAACCCCACCTTGAACCTGCACGGTACCCAAGTAAGACATCATCTCATAGCTCCCTCTAGTGACTGATGACACCCCAGTTGAGGATGGCTTTTTATATCCTTTCCAAATGGAAAGTTAAAGAAAACCCCTGAGGACTGCTTTCCCTACAGAGCTGTTAGAAGACAGACGTGGGAGACGCTGACAAGCCTGCTTGGCGTCTACCACCCAAGTGGCATCAGCTTCCCATGGGTGCCCCACACTCACACCTGTGACGGGAGCAGAGCGAGGGCGGGGGAGGGAAAAGCTGGTGAGCACTTCTTTCTAGCAGGTTATTAATGGTCTACGAGCCTTTATTGGGAGCTTACATACATGAGGTATTGTGAAAGAAAAATAAACAGGACCAAGCCTGTGCCCTGGGAAGGCCAGTAAGGTGGCCTCCCAGATCCTCACCTGTGAAAAGCCATAAGAAAGATGGAAGTGTGCTACTGGTGAAGTCAAAGGGGAAGCCCAGTTAGGACCTGCCTCTCCAGGGGTTACCCCGCCGTAACCACATGGCTATCACCCTGGTACGAGTTTCTGGGCCATGCTGCAGATTTCAGTGGAGTCTCTAGGAGTCGGGCTCAGAAATATGCATTTTGCCAAGTTCCCCAGGTGACTGAAAGTTAAAGAACCACTGATAATGTGGAGGTGATTAGGGCAGGCCTCAAGGTGGGGTGCTACCTGATCTAGCTTCTCCCAGGAAAAGCATTCCAGCCAGAACCATGGAATGAGGGTGCGAAAGCCTAACAGATTTAGGCAGCATTTAAGTAGCACCTGCTGTGTGCCAGGCACACTTCTATGTACCTTTATATAAAGTTATTTAGTTCCTATGTCAACCCTGTGATGTAGGTACTGTTATTTTCTAGATTAGAAAACTGAGGCACAGAAGGGTTAAGTGACTTGTCCAAAGTCACATGGTGGTAAACAAACAGGATTCAAACTGAGGCACTGCTGGAATATGTGCTGATACATACTGAGAAATCATATAGCAAATGAGTTTGAAAATGTTGAGTAGGGCCGACCACAGAAAGCCTTGAATGCTAAGCTAAGGTAAATTTGAACTTGTAATAAGTTATTTCATAATAAAATTTGGACTTCATGCAGTTGTGAGCTATTGGTGATCTCCAAATGAGACAGCAACTTGATTCACCTGAAACTCTGAAGTCTCAAACTATGGGATCAGCACAGTTAAACGCGGTGGGGGTTCATGGCCAGCTCCCAGAGTGGGGTTGCTGGCAGCTGTGGCAGCAGTCAGTGAATGTCCCAGAAGTCACTCTGAAGGCTGCGGTTCAGAACATTCTCATGCTCCGTCCCGTCTCCACCTCATGGGATAGAGCTGGAAGGTTGTTTGGTTTGGCCAGCAGACCATGAGCAGAGAGAGCCAAGAACCACACAGCGAAGGAAATGGGTGCCTTCAACTCCTTCAGCTCACCTCCTCCCTGCCCAGTTCACCCTCCTCTGCCTTGGCGCACTCTACCACCCTGGAGGGGCATCTTTTTAGAGTTAACTTTTCTCATTGCCATCCAAAGATAGCTTGTTTTTCTAACTTTTTTTAAGGAAATAAAAACAATACAGTCATGATAATAAAATTTCAACCACTGACACAGAAAAATTAAGTAATGTATAAAAGCCCCTGCTTCTGACTTCTCAGTCCATTCCCCAGCAGTAACCAGGATGAGCTGGGTTTCTTGTATATACTTCCAAAATTTTTCTATGTACATATCACGTGTGTGGATACATGGCTCTTGTTACATAAATTGCATCATACCACCTAACTTTTCTTGGATAGCTTTTCTCAACATTGGACGCTACCATGTTCTTTAAAACAGCTGCTTACTATCTCCCTGTATGTATGTGCCTAAAGCTGGCTTTAGTGAGCCTTCCTCTCCTGGTAAGAACGATCTTTATTCTCTACTCAACTACATACCGTCTATGGATTCACCACCAAGCACCTGTCCATAAAAATACTCTTGCCTGAGATTTCTTCAATCATCATGACGCCAAAGTGAGCACAAGGCATTTTTAACCAAATACAGCTCGTGTTCCACCCTGGGTCATGCCCTATGTGGGGAACAGATGTGTAAGACAAGGGCTGTGTCCCCAAGCAACTGGGTCCGTTGGGAAGACTAGGCCAAAATAAGTCAGAACAAAGAAGGGTGGTGGTCACTGAAGGTGAAATGATGTGGCTCTGAGCCCTGCGTGGCACAGGGGAATGAATGGAAGCCAGGTCAGCTCTGGGTTTGAGTTGTAACAGTTTTAGCTCCCTTATACATGGGAAAATGTGAAGAACCTCCACAAAGAAAACCCAACACAATTGCCATTCTGTCCCCAAACACTTGTGTTCCATTCATCTGAGCCCAGGGCTGGCTTGTTGCCTCCTGCATAATGCGAGGCCCCTGCTTTACAGGTGCAACATTCAAAACACACACAGAGTGGCTACTGTGTGCCAGGCACTGTGCCAGATGCTAGGAAAACAAAGTTCAAGACAGACACTATCCCTGCCTTGAGGGAACTTCTAGTCACAAAGGGTGAATTACTACTTATTTTAGGACGGAATTTTTCAAATACCTCCTGCCCTTATCACTCACAGCGTTCTTCATTATGCATCCTGGTAGCTTCCCCCTATGGTAGAAGTGCACAGAAACACACACACACAACACACACATCCTTTGGGTATTTTTCTAAACTTTTGAGCGTAACCCAAATATTCCACGGCTTTGGAAGCATAAATCCAGATTTCACAAAGGCTACTCCTGCTAACGCATCCACCCTCACTTCCCAGCCACCCAGTCCTGTGCTGCACAGTCAGAGCCTGCCTCGGTGGCTTTGTCCTGACAAAGCTACAAATGGCTGGTTCCAGCTGGCTCCCAGCCAGGGAGCTAGCTGACTGTTGTTCTTCAGCCATGCCCCAGGGGTAGGCTGTCTGCCACTGACCAAGTGGGTCTGCAAGGGGATTCTTGGTCCCAGTGGATCCTTAGGAGGAAATGACAGGCAGGGCAAAGCATCCCGCCGTTCTTGTCTGGAGCATGTGTGTAATCGTTCTTTCCATGAGCAGCACAGTCCTGGGGCACTTGTGTGTTTCATGCAGCAGCCAAGAAAAAGAGAGAAAGACGAAGCGGAAGGTGGAAGGCAGTGTAGGTGACCCTGGCAAAATGCCAAGCGCACAACTGGCAGAAAGCCACTCAAATCGCAAACTGGGCTGCGGGCTGCGGGCTCCGGGCCTGCAGCCTTTCCCACAAGCGCTTTCCTCCATGCTTTATTTCCTGGCTCTTCAAGCCTTCTAAATTAGTATGTGGAGCCCCAAATGAGACCGTCTTTGGTTCTGGCCATCAGAGACGTGCCATTATCTGTTGTGCTGACAGCACTTTTGGTCCCATGCTGAACACTCGCCAGCACACAGGATATATACCTGCAAGGACTGATCAGTCCTCGTGTTCCAGGGGAGGCCACAGGAGCCGAGCAAAGATCCCAGGGAAATGTGACTCACAGACCTCACTCTGCATTGGCTTGGGCGCCATGGCAACAGGGCATCCCATCCTGAGAAGGCGGCACAGCAGATGGCCCCTGTCATGTGGCGCCTGCTATGGCAGACCAGGCCACCTCACTAAGCAGGCTTGCTTCCGTCCAACTGGCACGGAGTCACACTGGTAACTATTTACATGAGTCAAGATCCACCCAGAGGCAGCAGATGGCTGGGCCAGGCTGAGACGTGGGGAGAAATGAGGCTGGTTTGGGGTGAGGCAGAGGCCGGAGCAACAGACTCTCCTCTATGGATATGGACAATTCACATCACTCCCATTGCTGCCTGGTCTCTCAGCCTGGCTGGAGGCTGGGGAAAGATTAGATGTGAACAAAGCTAAAAGGATCACAGGCTGATCCCTAGACCCTGAGACAAACTGGGCTTGGACAGGCCCACCCCACTCCTAAGGCTCCTTCCGGCACATCAGGCCATTCTTCTGGCTCTTTGTCACCTTCAGTGGTCCGAGCCAGCAGAGGGGCGATATCAGGCTGAGACAAGCATTCCCACGGCAAGACAAACGGCTCCAAAACACTAGTTCTAACACTGCAACCAAAATGAGTGGAGGGATCAGGGGCTCCTGTCATCTTTATCATGCAAATATCCCAGAGCTTGGTACACAACAGGCAACCAGAGGCATTTGTTGTGATGCACTCACAGTGTGTGTGAGCAAATCCAACAGAGTGACCTTTGCCTGTCACTGGGTTTGGGGTGTATTTTTTTAAGGCAGGATGTCAGCTATAGAACATTTTGTGAGCCATCCTGAGCCCAGACAGCACCGGTAAAATTCTGACGTCATTAGTCCAGGGTGATAACGGGTATTTCATTTCCTGCTTTGGAATTCTTTCCGTCATGAGACCTTCGGTGTCTCCCAGGCCCACAGCCAAAGTCTGAATGACAATGATACTCATGCACAAACACGTGGGCTGCAGCCTTCGTTTGCCAAGTGGAGAGTATTTGGATTTCGAGTGTTTTCTTCTTCCTTTTCCTAACTTTCCTCCCACCAGTGAGGTTGTGGAGGATGCCAATCTATAGTGACAAATGTCAATGATTGGTAGGCCTTCAACCTCAACATCAGCATCAATAGTTTGGCAGTCAAACTGGGCCAAAGGCCAAGGAGCCAGGATGCACACAGCTCCTGGGCACTAGATTTAGTCCTGGGCACTAGATTTCTAGACAATCCTTAGAAGCTATGGGCTTGAGGAGTCATACAGTGATTATCAGAAAGAATAGCTTTTCTGTCTCCATGTTTATTGGGAACCTCAAAGAAAATGAACAGAGATTGATTGACCCACCCAAACAATTCCTGATACAGAGTCATGACATGCTTGGGAATTCTGGGTGGTGAAGGGGTGGACTGTGGGGCTCAAGAACTAAGCCCAAAGTCAAAGGCATTGGGGTTGTTCTGAAAATAGAGATTCAAGAAGCCCAGGAAAATGTTCTTATCTATGAGAAGAGCACACACCGTGGGGTCCTGCTTCATGGCCTCTATCCAGAGCCGAAGTGCTGGGGTGTGGTTCACACAGCTGCAGGACAGGAAAGAAGTGTTAGCTCACCAGAAGAGGAAGGCATCAGGAAAATGGCACGTGTCACTTTTTAGATTTATGAGATACAAAAAAAGTGGGTTTCTTTGGGCAATAGAGTCATCTTAGTTACCATTATGATCAACTGAGCACAATGACTTACTGAAGGAACATCTTGCTTTTGGAATACCTGTGTGAGCTTCTGAATTGTGTAGGTTGCTATTGATTTTAACAATACAGTTAAAATACTCGTAGGCTGATTGCTCAGGGGAAATTAGGTGCCTATGCCTCACTTTCAACAGAAAGGCAACCCTCTGAAAGAGACAGTCTTCTGTCCTTCTCAGATTTTACTTCAGTGAGTTTGGAAAAAATAAAAACAAGTCATTTCCAAAACACTTAAAAAAAAAAAATGAATAAAACAATCATCAAACTTTAAAATAATGGAGCTGGCTGGGCTCCATTATTTCAAAGATCAGAAGTTTAGATCTAGAATATGTCACGTGGCTTGTCCAAGACAGTACAGCTGGTTAGTGGGAAATCTGGGAGTAGAGGTGAAGGTTCCCAATCTGTTGCTAATACTCTGTCCCCAGAGGAGACAAGTTTTCATGATGTTTCTGTTGAGACAGAGTTTAAGATATCTAAATGTGTTCTATCCAATCTTCCCTCAGAGACAGCCAAAGTGGGAGTTGCAGAGGACTCCTGGGTGGTATCAAGCCTGTGCATTATGAGGGTACACATGCAGCCTGACAGGGCAGGCCTGGATTCCCAAATGCCAGAATCATCCAGCACCCGCCATGGGACGGCTGGGATTAGAGCAGGTGGGGACACTCCCTCCTCAGAGGTGTGACAACAAAGCACATGTTCTGCCCAGGGCCCCTGCAAGCTGCCCCGCCCCCACCCCGTCTCCCAGGCAATTTCTTCTACTTTAAACATCCCTACACTTCCATGGTGGCCACTTCATTTGTTTGTTTTAACATCAAGCATCTATTACTTTTAAAATCATTTATTTAAAAAAATGTTCCTATCTGGGGAAGCTTCCTCGGGGAACTAAGATGTGAGTAAAGTAACGGTGTCCACTGGGGGACTCAGCAGGTCCAGGTGCAGGGCCACCGAGGGAGCTGCAGATGAGTCACAGAAACCCCGTGACAAAGATTCACCAACTGCTCTCACCACTGGCCTGAGTTTGGATGGGGTGGTGAGGACAGGGCTGGAAGTACTATGTACAGGAGGCTTTCGGACACAGGGTCTTATTAGCAGAAATATGGGGAATGTTTGGGTCCACAGGTAGTGGCAGAAGAGCACAGATGCATTTGAACAAGGAAACCTGATTTCATTTCACATGCATCATGAAACACGTTCAGAGGAGAAACGGCACACAGACCATTTCAACCAGTTACCCAGTCCGACCCCAGGGAGTCATGACCACGTGGTCAGATGTCTTACTCAGCTATTCCATATACATCCAGCCGCTCAAACCAGGGCCAAAAGAGGTAATCAATCATGGAGATACAGTCTCCACCAAAGAAGATGGTGTTCTGATAGCTAAGAATCTAAAAGTTTAAACAGAACAAAAGCAAGTTAATTTACCTGCTGGCATCGTTATAGACACTAAATGCAGATACCAAATTAGCTCCCACAGAACTTAAGCTCTGATTCACCTTCTGGTGTGTTAGGTAAGTGGGTCCTCCCTTTTCCTGGGGTTCCCTCCACTCCCTTTAGGGTATACTCCTGGCCACACTCAGTCCCCTCCCTCCTTAGAACCGGGGAGGGATGGTATGACTCATCTGATGGGAGAATTTGGAAGGACAACCCAGGCAGAGGGAACCCAGCACCCCCCCCCCACTAGCTGAGTGCTAAGCTCTCCATGGAGAAGCTCAGCCCCTGGAGAGGGGAGGCCCTGTCTCAGGCCTACGCAGCCCATTATTGGGACAAAGGAGGGCCACACTGGGAACCCCACTTGTTGCAGTTGTGACCCCCATTCTCCAGGATCCACTTTATCTGTAACAAAGGGGATACTGTAGTCTCCACGTGCCTTCCACTTTTGCCTTATTTCTCAATCATTAAAAATGAAGGCAGGAAAGAGCGGTGCTAGTTAATGGACTCCCTCTAATCCCGCCATTGTCTTTCTATTGTATTTTCTTTTTTATTTCAGCTCTTTGAACTTCATACTTGTTGGCCACTCAACATTATCAACTTTTTACATTAAAATAAAAATTCTCATTCCCAAATGGGACAAATCAACCCAAACAGAAAACAGATAAATTCTTAACAGATAGCCAAAGACAAAAAAAAAAGTAAATTTTTAAAAAGCACCTGAAAATTTAAAAAGTAAAAGTGCTTAGCAGAGATTTTTGTTGGGCCAGGTCTTCCCAAAGAGAAAGGTATGGTGTCAATTACCTAGTTAATCAGATGACTCTCTTTGACCCATGTAACTCATAATTAACTACTTTCCTATAGCTATAGATCTAGATTCCTATACCCTTTATCTTCCCATATTCCTATCTTTATCAATCACTCTTGATTTTTATACTCCAGACAGACCAGCTGTTGACTCCCTGATGCAGTCTAGGGTTGTAGCTAAGAAGGTGAGTTCTGGAGCCAGCACATCTGGTCCTGTGCAGGGTTCTACCTCCGATTCGACATGGAACCCAGGACAACTTACGTACCTCTTCTTCCAAGCCTCAATTTTCTCATCTTTAAAATGGTGGCAATGTTACTGCTCACCATGCATGAATAAATATGAGCTCTTGTGATGACAAAGCACAGAGACCTCGGAAGATTACATCTACAGAAAGCAAATCCACCCCTGACAGAAAGGATCAGTGGGACCCTACCACCCTTCTTAGAGCAGGAGGCAAATCTTGTGGCCCTAAAGTCTCAGTCTCCATTATCTCCTGACAGGCATCCTGAAGGTCTGAAAAAATTCAAGGTGGCATCACTTTGTTCAAAGAAACTACTGACAGGATGGTACTAAAAGAGCAGAATCTGGCCAATAAAAACTAAAAACAGGCTATTTTCAGTCATGTATAAATAGGATCTGACATACAGAGTAAAGGAACAAATTGTTCAGTTTTTATGGATTCCAGGAAGGTACAAGCCTTCTTTATGTTCAGGAATAAAAATAATAATTACCAAAACTGTTACCAGTGACTTTGAAATGCATACCTCCAGCTTATTATATTACTAGCTTTCATGGCACAAGTCAGAACCATATCTAAATGGATCAACTCTGGAATTTCTGTATAACTCTTGTGCTCTACAGAACAGAGGTGCTTTGGGGAAAGTCCTTGTTCCAAAGAAATCATATGCAGACATTTAATGGAGCCCATGATGGGCCGTTTGGTCAAGTAATAAGATATTTTGAAAATGAATAATTGCTTAGTGATTGATATTTATTTAGTATATGTTTCTAAAGCTTTTCACTTGCTCAAAGCAGTATGCCTTTAAATATATATGATCTTGTAAATATGATCAATCTGTATGTAAACACTCATAAAGTAATTCAAGCCCTAACAAGGCATGTTGTATAATAAAAAGTCAAGGTGAGCATATGGATGAAATGGCAGCTTCTACCCCATCCCCGAATACATATACACATTCCTTCGCACTTTTCTTAAATCCAAGCGTGACTTGAGACCACTCGCATCAAGATCCTTGGAGCTCTTGATTCAGCTGCCTCAGACAGACATTTCTCCACCAGATTTCTCACAGGGCAAGTCTAAAAATCCCAACAGAATATCTGTCTTCCTATAAACTAGCACAAAACGCCAGCTCCTTCACAGTCACATCCCAGTGATATGAGGACATACTGGCCAGGCCTCCTCAGAAGTTTATTGAAGTCTTAGGACCCTCAGTAGGAGAGCTCCCTTCTATGCAAACCTGATAACTCCCAAACATGTGAAATAAATATTCCCCTTGGAATCACAGAACATCAGCACTGGAAGGGCCACTGGAACTCATCTAGTGTGACATACTCCCCCATCCGTTTTACCATTTTTTTATACCATGCTCATTACACAAAAGATCAGAGGTGCAGTGCAAAAGAAGTGTACAATAAAATATTAAATATGAAAAATCATAAAATGCTAAGATCTAGGAAAATAAAAGTTAGGACAGAAGGTCAGAACAAGGAAGGAAAATGATATCATGATACCAAGCCAGGAGTCCTGCAGAGTTCCTTAAAGCTTTGAGTTTCCTGGTAGCAGAGGTGGAGAGGAAAACATACCAGAGAGCTGATTCTTGTCTTTCACATGGAAGCACAGAGACTCTATCGGCATAGGAAACTCAGTCCCAGGGAGGTAAAGGGACCCTCTGGTTAGTGCCAGAGCTAAGACAAAAACACCATTCTCCTAATTCCCAGACTAGTGTCCATCCCTGTGTCATTCCACTTCCAATGTGTGTATGTATGAGGACTCTAATCACAGAAGCTTCTTCGAGTCTCTTGTGAATTCTCTGCATGCTCTTTAAATTAAAGTAACAGTGCCCAGCTAGGAGTGGTTCAGTGGTTCAGCATCGACTTAGGATCCAGGAGATCAGGGTTCGATTCCTGGTCAGGGCACATGCCTGAGTTGTGGGCTTTATCCCCAGTCAGGGGTGTGCAGGAGGCGGCCAATCAGTGACTCTCTCTCATCATTGATGTTCTGTCTCTCTCCCCCTCTCCCTTCCTCTCTCTGAAATCAATAAAGATATATTTAAAAATAAATGAATAAACAAGTAATAGCAAAAAGCTTAGAATCAGCAGATCCTGAAAGCCTCTTCTCTACAGCCAAGGATTGGCCCAGCTCTGCTTCCCGGGGAGAACTCTCTCCTCAGTCCTACTCTTGCTCCCCTCTCTCAATCGGGGGGGCCCTGCCAGAGCACCTGACAGGGAGGTGAGACACCCACATTCTCATGGTTGAAGAGCTTACCAGAATTCTCTCCCATTGATAAGAAAGTCATCAGGCAACTTGACTCAAAAAGTTCTGTGTTCTCAGTTTAAACTAGTCCCCTGCTTACAGTCAGTGAGCTCCTCTGACAATTTTTAGGATAGTGAGAGGTAAAATAAACTGGCAGTCTTAAATCCCAATGTCTTATCTTTCCTAAGTGTTTTGTCATCAGAAACGGAATAGGAAGCTGCTGCTGCTATACCTGGCCCCACTTAGCAGTGGTTATGTTAATATCCATCGTCATTTTTAAAAACTCTATTTGAGTTCTTTCTGTCACCTGCCTGCCACACGTAATGACGTTGGCCATTCTTCATATTGAATAGCTCCTCTCACGATGGAATCCCTCACTTTCAGAGCTATTGTCCTTGGCATCACCAAGGAAGGCAAAACAGCCTGCTTGGAGAAAACATTTTCTTCCAAGGCCCCAGACATCCTTCATGAGGCCACACATGGGGAGGAGACTGAGGCTCTGGCTTCTAGCCCCTGGGTTTCCCAAAAGTATTAATACATCTTCAATTCAGGCTTAAGAATTGAGATATTGGGAGGGGGGGAGGGAGACACCATTTGATGTTCTGGAATAATAGAAAATCTATTTTTTAATTTTTCTGTTCTCCAGTTCATTGAAAACAACTACAGAGGGGTCCCCTGCTTTTGGATTTGGTAAGGGATGAAGGGTGAGCATGCAAACGGAGAGCAAGGGGCCGTTAGGTTTGACGAGGGTACACTCTCTCACTCCGAGGGGGAAAAGCCTGGAAGGAAGGTCCCCTCATCTTCTGCGAAGGCCTCTCGGGCTCCCCCAGGGGACGGAAAGGAGGTTCGCCCGGAGCCGAGTGGAAAGATGCGGCGCCGCGGGGCTCCCCCTTGTGGCCGTCCGTGGCGAGGCGCGCGCGGGGGCACCCCAGGAGCTTCATCAGGCAGGAAGGAATCTGCGAAGGATTTTGTGGACAAGCAAGATCATGAAGCCCAGACTTCCTCAAGCCAGGCATTCTAAAAAGCCTCAGTCTGCAGCCCTGGGCTCTCGGGTGCAGCTCCAGAACTGCCTGCCCTGCACCACCATCATTTACACCATTGCCACTGCCTCTAGGGAAGGCAGACAGGTTGGTGGCTCAGAGTGGGTGCTGCTGTCCTCGCCGCAGGAGAGATAAAGTGGTTTTCCTTGATGGAAATAGTTCTTAAGAAGCAGAACCTCCTTGCCCCTGGCCAGGTCGCTCAGTTGGTTAGAGCGTCGTCCTGACACACCAAGGTTGCGGATTCGATCCCCCATCTGGGCACATACAAAAGTCAACCAATGACTGCATGGATGGGAGGCGCAACAAATTGATTCTCTCTCTTTCTCTCTCAAATCAATCAATAAATTTTTTTTTAAAAGAAGCAGAACCTCCTCCCCCCCTCCCCCCAAAAGACACAAAGCCATCTGCCAATAAATCAGAATTCAGGCCCTTATCCAAAAGCAACAGTAAAGTACTCAACTCCAGAGCAGAAGTCTGTTGAGTTCATAAAAAATAAGAGGAGATTCTCAAGATTTCTAATTTCAGGTCCTTAATGTAATGACATACAGCTGATTCCCTGTAAAACAAATCAAGGGTATAGAACAAACCAAGTACAGATAAAATCATTTCTCCTCTAGAAAGAAGCCTTAGTAGTGTCTGGTAGAACATGCTCCATCCTGCTGCTTGTCATTTAGGACCTTTAGTCCCCTGTGAAGATTCAGAATGCATCTTGCCAACATTTGAGGATTAAAGGACCACCCTGAAAATTCTACCCTGGAATCCTTTTAATGGGCTTAATTTGTCAAAATATATTTGTAAGATAGTTGGAGGGGCAGCTAGTAGGGCAATGCTTGACAAGTCAAATATCTTTAAAGTGATGGATGGTGGGTGAAAAGACAAATGAATATTTATTGAATCTCTGAAGGGGGGGAGGACCTCCTGTGTATAAAAAGAGTGGAAGAAATCACAACAGGAAAGACTTATGGCACAGTGTTTTTTTAATGTTATATTTCTATATGTACAAAAAAGATAAGCCGAATTAAATGTTGTAACAAAAGAAAACAAAAATGCGTCTTAAAAACAAGCAAATATCTTTTATATACAGGAAACTCTCTAAAAGGAACGTTTACAAATCAGCAAGGAAAATCAGTAAGACCTGGACAGACAGATGGCTAACAGACCATTTTCACAAGAAGAACACTAAGAGATGGCATACTTTGGGGGAAACATCCCACTTCGCTAGCAATCAAAGAAACACCCATTATATCAACAATGAGAAACTACTCTTTCTCTCCAAAACAGGCAAATATCTTTTTTAATGACATTTCCCAATAGTGAAAAGGGGATAGAGCAAAGGGCATTTTCATATACTGCTAGTGGGGGGGAAACAGCACAAGTCTTTGGGGAAGGAAGTGGCTCCAGCCTGTAAAGTGTCCATGCCCTCTGACCTGGTGATTCCACTCCTGGACAGCCAACCTAAGCATATATTCTAAAATAGAAAAAACGCTTTTTATGCAGCAAAGCTGCTGTTCCTACAGCATCATTCATGATGGTAAAAGGTGCTGGATAAAAATTTGATGGTTTATACATATGGCAAATTATGCAGAATGAAGTTATTTTTTTCCATTAAAAAATTTACACACATGCTCTTCCCGTCAGTGGCCTGAGGTGACCTCTGAAAGTGGTTCACTATGCACTTGACCCAGAAAACCCCACAAAATCATGCAAATCGAGAGGTTCAAATCTTCCTGTTCACTTTAAGAACACTCGGGAAACTGCCCAGGCCATCAAGGGTATGCATATCTAAAAAGCCACCAAGTATCCTTTTCATTAAACACCACTAGACGCTGCATGACAGAAAAGACTATGCCAGAGAGTATATCATAATAGGAGGTAATGGCATCAAATTAAAATGCCTACTCTACACACTCCAGTAAGCCTCACACCAGTCCAGTGTCCACTGTGCACGAAGTGGGGCGGGGCTCAGAAAGACTCACCTTCAACTACCCACATCAGCACTGTGAGTGCGAAAGAGGCCACCCCAAGCTTAGGATCCCTAATTCTAAAACCAGAGTTCGATCTTCTGTACCACATGATCTCCAAAGTCCTATGAGCTGCAGTAAATGTCACACCTTTTAGAGAAAACAAATGACTAGTTATTGGAATGTGGCACCTGTAGCTGACCTGTCCTATGTGACTAGAAAAAAAGCGACTCCAATAAACACTATTTGTGGCCTGCCCCACTGTTTGTCCTGGGCACACCTACCAACCCCACCATTATAACTACAGAATGGTATATGTTGCTTCTGTAAAGTGACACTCTCTTGTGCAAGAGCTTTCATACTTCTGTTTGAAAGCAGCAGCCCCCCTCCCTCCCCAAATGCTCTTATTCAATGTTTTGTTAAACACAGTGTTAAAAGCAGGGCTGTTCTGGGTGAGGCAGTACCTAGAACCACCCACCAGGCCTCCCCTAGGTGGGGGTTCTGCTGCAGAACCCAGAGGCTCTGAGAACACACCTTTCAAAACACTCCCTTGTTCCATAATTGTGGAAACCAAGGTACCAAGAGATCCAGAAGCTTGCCCAAGGTCCTGGAGTCTGGTAAAGCCAAGCCTAGGATCCAAGACTCTACCATGTCACACTGCCTGCTCATAATCAAGACCACAATCTGTGGTCTCAGGGCCAAAGCTTGACATTTCTTAAATATGACTATTCATCATCCATAAATACTGCAACTGTACAAATCCAAGACAGGCAGCTGAAAGTGTAAATAAATGTAATCTGCTTCTGCTTGATAAAGGTAAAATGGAAGAGTATTAATAATCAGCCTTCCTTTAAGGAATAAAAATAACATTTCCTGGCTGCCAACAGAGTTACAAACCACCCATAAAGGGAACACAGTTTCTGGAACAAAGATAAAGGCAAAAATCCACCTTCCAGATTATTCTACAGGGAAGGGGTAGCCCTATTACTATCCGGTTAATGAAGGATCTGCTGGCAGAGACTGCTCCTTGCCCACTCATAGCCACATTCCCCTTCTCTTAATTACGGAACCCTGATTTTATTCAGGGTGTCCTACTAAAATACTAAATTTCCCAGCCTCCCCTGCAAATAGTTATGACCCTACAATTAAGTTCTGGCTGATGAGATTTAAGTAGTCATTGGGTAGGGCTTCTGGGAAAGCCCTTTAAAGGAACACGGTCTTTTGGCATTTTTTTTTTTCCCTTTCTGTCCTCCTTTCTGCAGCCTGGAACTTGGATGTGATGGCTGCAGTTCCAACAGCTAGCTGGTCATTTTGAGGATGAAAGCCTTGCACAAAGGATGACAGAGCAGAAAGAGAAAGAGTCTCAGTCCCTGGTAATTTCATGAAGAAGCCATCGAAATAGACCTGAAGTGCCCTTACCTCTGGCTTTTGTAGGAGAATAAACCCTTATAAGATAAATTTACAGTAGTTAGGTCCCTTTTACTAGCAGCCAAACACAATCCCTAACCAACACAGACCTTGACCTCATTGGCAGAAGCTACAGAAGCCATGCGGAGGCAGTTAAGGAACATCCTGACGCTGGGAAAGGAGGAAATACATCACGTGCCCTTCCTGACTTCCCTGCCAGATTTCCAAGAATAATTCCAGAATGGAGTAGTAGAGAGCAAGCACCTACAAGTTAAAATCAAATAACTAGTAGCTGAACTAATCAAAGTCGGGCAGAAAGAATAAGTCTATGAAAGCAGAGGGCGTCAGGGTGACCAGGTTAGCGACCCCTATCTCTTCTTACATTGGATCTAAGCAGAGAGGGGCCCCTTTTGTACCTCTTCAAGGTTGCAGAATTCCTCACGAAGGGCTAGCTTCAGATCATAGCATTCTTTCCCGCATCTCAATGCTACCAGGCACTCCTTGGTCAAATGTGGGACCTAATCAGAGGACACAGGTTTCTTAGTGAAGTCTGAGCGAACTCCTCATACTGCTCTGCCTGAAAATGCAGCCAAAGCTTTGTCCCTCCAGCTTAACAGGCCCACACCCACATCCAGGCTCCCCAACTCGCTCTGAGGGGTATCTTTAAGGTTCCAGGAACCCACTTGTCATAGCACCCTGGTAAAACATGGTGCTTTAAAAAAAGAGTTCTGGAGTGCTTCTTACTTGATCAGCTACTTCCCTGCTGTACAATCTTAGGTAGACACTTAACCTCTCTAAGCCTGTGTTCTCATCTGAAAAATGGATACAGTAATAGTACCTGCCTTAAAGGGCAGTTGTAAGGGTCACATGAGTTAACCTTTATAAGGTAGTTATAATAGTGCTTGGCACATAATAAGTGCTCAGTATATGTCCGTTGTTTTTATTTCATTTCAAAGAGAACCATCTTAAAGTTTCCCCATCATTTTTTCTCCCACTACCAGCAGGTGCTGCCCCCTTTTGTCTCTTCACATTTCCTGGACAGTTAGCACTCTTGCTCCCCAAAAAAGAGCAGTCCCCTTCCATGCATTGACATCTTTATACCCCAATATTGTTTTAACCTGAAACCTTAGCAATCTTCCCTTTAAAGCATCACCAGTTTTCAGCTCTTTCAATGTGCCTATCTTAAGTCACACAGTCATAACTGGAGACTGCTGGTTCAAATGGCAAAGCACCTGTCAGTAATATCAGAGGTGATGGGTCTACCATAATTGCATGCCAATTAGTATCCTGAGGTGCAAGTAGTATCAAAACAGAACAACTTCACCAAGGATTTGGCTTTAAAAATGAACTGAAGTTTGGGAAAGACATATAAAGTAAGACAGAGTGTAAGTGGCTTTTTAAAAAATTTAGCATACCTTATAGAATAGCTCCAATAACATCTTTTGGCGAGCTCGCTCATAGGGGTCATATGGATACAGCTTCCTTCCAGGATAAGCATCATCCAGGTACTCACAAGCGATCACAGATTCGTAGATCAGCTGACATTTGCTATTTTCCAGGACAGGAATTTGGCCAAAAGGGTGCTTTGTATAGTACCAGTCAGGCTTATTTCTCAGGTTAATGTTGATAACTTCATGTCTTAAAAAGCAAAGGGAATGGGGGGCAGGAGGGTGGAGGAGATCAGTGGGGCAAAAAAGGGGACATCTGTGATACTTTCAACAATATTTTTTTTAAAAAAGCAAAGGGAAAGCAGGACAACAAAAATGAGAGGCTTACCCAGGCAGACACTCATCTTGAAAGCAGAAGTAATCAACTTATAAAATTTAAATTTGCAAAACATTTTAAAAGTTTAGATCTTTTACAAAGAAATATATATAGCAACAGCATTGTCTTCATTCCTACAGATGTGTTAATGTTTTCTAGGCCTTGTCTCATCTGCTTGTGCAATTTCCAACTCCAGGAGGTTGAATTTCCTACCCAGTAGTATCACCGCTAGGAAGGAGCAGAGCCCAGGAGTCTGACTCAGAGCTCACACATGTAACCACCACACTACAGAGTTTCATACATTTTAAAGCTTGAAAATACAAATCTGCTATTAACGGGTCACAACAGAATATCGTAAATGTCAGCAGCTACGAGCACAAATTCTGGCGTCAGACAGCATGGGCTCTGGACAGTCTAGCTTGTGACCTTGGCTAAATTCCTTAACTTCTCTGTGCTTAGTGTCATTAATCGTAAAATGGAGGTAGTAAACGTACCCATGTCTTGGCATCATTGTGGGGATCAAATAATATATATAAAGTGCTTAGTACCTAGTGGTGCAATAACTTTTTTTTAAAAGTTTTTAATCCTCACCTGAGGATATGCTTATTGATTTTAGAGAGAGAGGAGGGGAGAGAGAGAAAGAAAGGTCAGTGTGAGCGAGAAACACCAATTGGTTGCCTCTCATACATGCCCTGGCCAGGGATCAAACCCGCGACCTGTTTTGGTATACAGGGTGATGTTCCAACCAGCTGAGCCACGCTAGCCAGGGCACAATAACATTTTAAATTCTTATTATTATTACTATCAGAGGTTCGAACATATAAAGTTACTAGGGCACTCACATATGTTTAAAAAGATCAAAGGAAACAAATGAGACTACCCTTTGCTCAGTCAAGGAGATTGTCTTAAACCCTGAAGCAATGGTTCTCAACTGGGAGAACCCAGGGGTATATGGCAATGTCTGGAGACATTTTTTGGTTGTCACAACTCAGTGAGAGAGGATTCAACTACCATCAAACGGGCAGAGGACAGGGATGCTGCTAAACAGGACAGCCCTTCCCCTCCCCCACACACCCCCCCCAAAGAATTATGAGGTCCAAAATGTGAGTAGTGCCAAGGTTGAGAAACCCTGCCCTAAAGAAATATTTAGGCCTGGCCAGGTAGCTCAGTTGGTTAGAGCATCGTCACAATACCCGGACGTCGCAGGATGGATCCCAGTCAGGGCACATGCAAGAAGCAACCAACGGCTCAGCTGGTGTGGCTCAGCTGGCTGAGCGTCATCCCAGGCAGGTCCCGTGCACGGAGAGGTCACTGGTTGATTCCTGGTCAGGGCACATGCCCGGGTTTCGGGCTCAATCCCCAGGAGGGGGCGTGCAGGAGGCAGCTGATCAGTGATTCTCTCATCATTGATGTTTCTCTCTCTCTATCCCTCTCCCTTCCTCTCTCTCTAAAATCAATAGATATATTTTTTTAAAAAAAGTAACCAATAAATGCACAAGTGAAACAACAAATCAATGGCTCTCCCTCTCTCTCCCTCTCTCTCAAGTCAACAAATAAAAATTTTAAAAATAAATATTTACATTAGTTCATAAACTGCCAACTTGTCACTCTGCGTAGAACATCAGGCTATTGCTATTTTAAATAGGTAACCTAGAGCCAACTAGAATTGAGCAAGACAGAAGAATCTGGAAATATATGCCACGTACTATACTCAACAAAGTAGAATTACATAATTTTATTTAATGTCTCTATATTAAATGTCTCTGCATTTCTCTGACATGAATCTGAAACTCTAAGTCGTCCCCTAATGACGGATTCTCCAAGACAGGAGTCAAAAGCCTGGAGTAACACATTCTCAACACTTTAGTTTAGAGGCCAGTGGCACCATGCAGTCCCCATTCCCGCAACCGGGCTCTGCCTTCCAAATCCAGACCTGCAGGACTTGTCTTGCAAAATTCCTCCTGGGAAGGTATGCACCCATTTCCTCAGGTATGTCTGAACCTTCAAGACACCTCTTGATAGCAGTCCCTTCTATTTCATTGTTTGGAACTATTTGTTCATTCATTCAAAAAATATTTTTTAGCACCTACTATGTACCAGGCTCTCTTCAAGCCTATGGACAAAAAAGACAAAGTCCCTACCCTCAACAACTTACATCTGGAGGGAAGGAGTGGAGGAAAGAGGGACTGAAAAATATGTTGGGATGTAGTGCACAGAGTTGATGTAGTGCAGCCTCTGCTGTGCCCTTCCTAAACCACCGTTACTGGAGGGAACCAGCTCACCGGAGCCATCGAGCAGTTTACTCCAAGTTGTCCTACGTTTCCTGCAGACACGGCCGCTCACTAAAGATCCTGCCCTTTGCTAACCATTTATTGACTGTGCCTCAGAAGAAAAGCACAGGGAGCCCCAGATTTTAAACATCCCCCTGTGCCTGTAGGGCGCCGATCTTCCGTTTCTCACCTGATGCCTTTGGCCAGAAGGACCAAGCGAGTCCTGTGCGCGAAGGGACAGAACCTCATGCTGTAGACACGGATCAGGCCCTCTGGGACCGGCCCTGGGGGGACACTTCCTGGGGGCAGGGACCAAGAGGTGGATTAGCACAGGGGAGAGAGGGGCTCACTCTCCTCCCTGAGACCTCAAGAAGGCTGTGCGTGCAGTCTCCAGACAGGACACTTTTGCAGGTGGCTTTTGCGCAGAGGAAGCCTTCAGGTCCCTCCCCACCGCGCTGGCCTGGGGACTGAGGCCCAGCGTCTCCATCCCGCCTCAGGCATCAAGGACTCACCTTTCCCCAAGGTCTTGCTCTCATTCTCAGTCATGTTTTCCAGGTACCTGCTCAGCGACCTACACTCCACGCAGCAGCGGCCCGGGGTATCGCAGATGCGGTGGCCCCGGGGCTCGCAGCCGCAGCCGCAGGCTCCGGTGCGCCGCCCCACCTGCCCAGATTCAGTGTTTAAGGGACAGGGCTCTGGTGGGACAGCGGGCAAGGGATCTGGGACACAAGCTAGGTAGGATAACCTAACCTGGAGAGACATCGCCCCAGACTTGGGAGCCGTTGTAGGAGTAGGCGAAACAAAACAAAACACCTGAAAAGTACCCCACTTTGAACACGTGGGTACAGCCTTCGTGGGGCCTCTGTGAAGAATGGGCATTTAAACTCCAGCATGTATCTCAAGGGAGTTTAACAAAAACCGACCAGGGTAATGCTAACCTTTTCTCTCCCATTTTAAGCCCTCCCTCCTGCATCTCTAAGACAATTGGCCATATTCTCTGTATAATGAGAACTTAAAAAAAAATAAAGCCAAACTTTTTCATGATATAGCCGATAAGAAGAAAAACTTGTTAGTGTTGAGATCTGGCTTGACCCTGAGAGTCTCCTTACATTTTGTGCCTGAGACACCTCAACAGCTTCAGCCCTGTTTGTGAGATTGCAACCAAGCTATGAAAAAAACCGGCAATGAATTCAAAACAAGATACCCAGAGGCAAAGAAAAATTTACAAGCCTTCCCCATCCCCCAGCAAAAATTTCAGAGAAGACCCTTCATAATGCTAAGGACACACTGTCAACAGCCCAGCAATGCAGGTGCCACTTGGGTAGCTCTTCCATCTACATTAGGTGAGGAGCTGTCCTTTGCTCTGACCCTAAGAAGCTGAGATCCTGAAATTTATAAGATGGAAAGATAACTTCTTTGATTTTACAGGATTGAGCTGAAATACGAATTACTTATAAATGCATTTTATAGGGTTGAAAAGTAAAGATGGAAAGAAAAGTATTATATGCTTCACTCATTCTGACTAAATGATTTCTATGGATTACTTTATTTGATTCCAACAACTACTCAGTTAGGCAACTATTATTATTCCTATTTTACAAAACAGAAAATATCCTCAGGAAAATAAAATTATTTGCCCAAAGTGACCAGCTAGCAAGGTTGAAGAACTTTGTAAGTCCAAAGCCTGACTCAATGTCTTGGCCTTTAAAGCTGCTTAACAGTGTGGAAAGGAAATGATTTAAATCCTGGAAAAGATATAGCACATAATTGCTGCTCAACAAATGTTAACTGAATCTGAATATTTTATTAAAATGATACAACCTAGTGATGTAGCTGATGAATGGACACCTTTTGTCTTCTGAAATTCCAAATCTATCCAGAAGTTCTTGGTTACGTGTTAACATTTTTTTCCTACTGAACAGGAATCTTTGAAAGTCTTTGGAACAGTGACTCAACTACATTTTTTTGCTAAGACATTCAGTGGGTTTACAAGATTGGGCAATGGCAAAAATGTCCTAAGACATTTTCTCTGAGAAGAAATTGCATATATGTCAGCAAGAAATCTGGTGTTGGAAAAGACACTGGTTCTTTCTTTGCCCTGCTGACAATTTTGCATTTTGGAAAATAAATAGGATGACTATATCCTGGAACTAACTTTAATCAAGAAGGACACACTGAATGGTGAGGAGTTTACATTAGGGTTCACTCTTGGCGAATTTCATGTAATTTTCATGTCACAAATTATGATTCTTCTCTTGATTTTTTCAACCATTTAAAAATATAAAAAACCATTCTTAGCTCTTACACTTTACAAAAACCAGCAGTGGGCTGGATTTGGCTCTCTGGCCTGACTTTGCCCACCCTGGAGTATAATGACAATGAATGAATGAACTATTAATGGCTGAACTGGAAATCTATGCTAGAGGGAACATATTTCCAAGATTTCTTCCCCTCATTCCCACTTTTTAAAGGAAACCACTCTGAGAGCTGGTAAATGCTGCTTATTAAAAGTATATTTGTGTGCCCGGCCAGGCGTGGCTCAGTGGTTGAGCATCGACCTAGGATCCAGGAGATCACGGTTCAATTCCCAGTCAGGGCACATGCCCAGGTTGCAGGCTGCATCTTTAATAGGGGGCATGCAGGAGGCAGCTGATCAATGATGACTCTCATCACTGATGTTTCTGTTTCTCTCCCTCTCCCTTCCTCTCTCTGAAATCAATAAAGATATATTTAAAAATAAATAAAGTATATCTGTGTATGAGAAGTCACATTCTAAAATGCAAGTCTATTTGGTGTAGTTAGGGGGTAATAGACAAAGGAATGCAAACAGTTCTTCCTCTGAAGGGAAACAATATAATGCCAAGGTTCTCGCTTGGCACTAAACTCAAACCCTGGCTTTGGCACTTAGTCAAACTATCTCTCACCTCTTTGACCTTCATCTTCCTCACCTGTAAAATGAAAATACAAATAGTACCTTATTGATGGGTTTTGAATATTGAATGAAATCATACAGGTGATCCTCAGTATAGTAAGAACTCAAAATTAATGACTAATACGAATAAATAAGAACACATTTTTAATAGCATAGTGCATTCCAATTTTGCATCCGTAAAGATGAAATGCACTGCAATTCAGCTTTGCCAAGCATACTTAGAATTAGAATTCAACTCAGAATATTCATTTCACCAGTTACCAATTAAATGCCAGTTGAATGGGTTGAATGCTGCAGGTTACATTTCAGTAATGTGGTTTTTAATCTTACCACTGAACACTATGGTTTCCCTGGAAAGAGTTTAAGTATGACCTTTAAGCTTATCCCTACTTCCTTTTAAAGACCCAATAGGTACCTCTTTGAAATCCTCTTTGCAAATGTTCCTTCATTGTTATTATATCATGTTTACACCTCTATTATACTGACTCACTCAAGCAAGAAACAAATGGTAACCAGGCCATATTAAACCTACTCCAAATTGGTTTCCAGCTACCTGAAATATAATGAGATCTATTTGAAAACGTGGGGATCTTCAGTCATGGGTAATAAGAACTTAAGCCTTCTTGGAAAAGAACATCACCACAGAAATAATTTCTTCACTCTATTTAACTAAGTCTGTTTTGAGAAGTGGAGTTTGCATTCTTCAGTTTTTCAAAAAATTTTTCTCATACCTATCTCTGATAGTGGCAAAAACTGGAGGACATTCCTCTTAGTATTTCAGGAACCTAATTTACATGAAAGATTACTGGGTGTTCAGATATTGCTCAATAGTTCAAAGAATGAGGTAAGGAAAAAAGGTCTATTTTCAAATGGACCTAGAATCAGGACTTGTTTATAGGAAGTTAGGGCCCTAGGGAATCCTGTGTTCTAATGTCCTTGGAACTTTTTTTTTTTTCCAGTTTTGAGATACAATTGACATACAGCTCTGTATGTTTTCAATGTGCCCTGCATAATGACTTGGCACACATATACTGTGAAATGATTGCCACAATAATGGTTACCACTTCCTCAGATAGTTACAAAAGGTAATTTTTCCACATGGTGAGAACTTTTAGGATCTACTCTCTTAGCCACTTTCAAATACACCATACAGCAGTGTCAACTATAATCATCTTGTTGTGCATTACATCCCCAGGACTTATTTTAGAACTGGAAGTGTGTACATCTTGACACCTTCATCCAACTCCCTCCCCACCCCACACCCACAAATCTGGGACATATAAAATAAAGAGTATTGTCAACTAAAGTAGTCAGAGGAAGAACTTCATCTTCCCAGAGATGAGGAGTCAAAGGGAGACTTTTTGATTTCTGAGTCAAGTCTGGGGCCCAGTGCTGGGAGCTCCGCAGACAGCAGTAGCCTGAGCTCCAGGGCAGCCCCACTCCCTCCTGTTCTCTCCTTCCCCTGGGTCAGCAAGAAAGCCTTCAGTCCAGTGAGGTCCGTTAGGAAAAACCGCCTTTTGGACCACAGCCTGGGCATCTCCAGGAGCAAAACCCAAGGAGACGATCGGATGAGCCTGCTGTACAACATGAACAACTGCTACTCCAAGGCTCAAAGAGCTGGTGCCCAGCATCCACCAGAACAAGGTGAGCAAGATGGAAATCCTGCAGCACGTCATCGACTACATCTGGGACGTGCAGATTGCCCTGGACTTGCACCCCACTATTGTCAGCCTACACCACCAGCAACCCGGGGCAGAGCCAGGCATCCTGGACACTGTTCACCACCCTAAACACAGACATCAGCATCATGTCTTTGCAGGCTTCTGAATTCCCTTCCTGAGTTCATGTCAAATGACAGCAAAACACCCTGTGGCTGAATAAATGGTGTTCATGACTTTTTTTCTTTTTCCTTTGCACAACAACAAATCCACAGGAACTTATTTTTCAGCCATTTCACCAGGAGGACAAGTTGAAAGGACCTTTTTTAAAAATGGAAGCAAAACTAAGAAGGCTCAGATCATCTTCCCCAGGGTGTTTCTGACCCAGACTGTGATATTAGTTATTTATGGAAAACACTTTTAATGCCCTTTCTGCGGTTGGAAGGTTTTCTTTATATATACTATTCCCACCATGGGGAGTGAAAATCTTAAAACACAAGGAATTGCCCAGTTTAAGCAGACTTGCATTTTTTTCAAAGGTGGAGCATGAATACCAGAAGGATTCAGTATTCAGTTACTTAAATGAAGTCTTTTGGTCAGAAGTTACTTTGATGCAAGCCTCCTGAATGCTGTATATATATTTACATATAAATATGTACATATATTGAGTGAAACCTTGTGAACTCTATTAGTTTTCTTGCATAGTGGCAGACATGTATATTTCTGCATACAAAGTATAATGATGTACTTATTCATGCTAAACTTTTTGTAAAAGTTTAGTTGTAAACTTAACCCTTTTATACAAAATAAATCAAGTGTGTTTATTGAAAAAAAAGGGGGGGGGGAGACTTTCTTTTTTAAGTACTCGATTCTGCTTTCCTAGTTCTATTTCTCTTTACAGCTTACAAAGAAAAAAAATTTTAAAAACATTTCAGTATAGTTACATTTGTAAAATCAAACAAAACACACTGAGTTTAGAAAAGGGCATCAACACTTCCGGTTAAACCCCAGGTATAACAGCAGTGTGGCCAAAAGGTACATACTATCCTTTCCTGGCTCAACCTCTCCAAATGCTAGGAGCTGAAGAATAAAAAGAGCCTGGGGTAGAGGCCTAAGTAAACTCTAATCTCAAGGGTGGTCTAAATGACTGGAAGAGTTCAGGCTGCATTTGAATCTCTTCAGCACTTACTAGCTGGTCGACCTTGGGCAAATCACG